TTCTCACCTGTAAAATGGGGTTAGCAATGAAGACAGCTACATAATAACTATTATTAGAATGAGTGAGCAAAGTGTTATTATGCACAAAGCTGCAGTTACAAACATTTAACAGAGTAAAAAACCGTTTACTTTCTTGTCAGAAAGACTTTCAAAACAAAGGTAATACAGCATTTGCTAATTAAGCAAGGCTGCCCTGCAACTACATGTCTTTTAAGAGCCCATAATGCAGTGACACTCAATATCCTAAAAATAAGAAGAAAGACAGGTTAAAGGTACATACAAATAAAATCTCAATTCTTTGACCATAAGCTAAACTGGTCATACCATGCATATTCCATGCTGTCCTTGCTGATATGGTTGTAACTTGGTAGTTGCTGGGACTATCAAGGATATTTAATATCAAGTCAGGCAGGTTTACTTGCACACTTTAGTACTGGTTTTATGAGTTTTCCACATGAGTAACTTTTCTGAGAGCCTCACAAAAACAGAAATTGGATGCCATGTTGCCAACAGTTTCTACTTGACCTATTTACACAAAGCTGGCAAATGTGAACGTAGCTTGCAGTTAAAACACTTCTAAGTCTGAAACTTAAAAAAAAATACTTGTAGCAAAGCTGTAAAAGAACCAAATGATAATATTCCAAATGAGCATTCAAAAGAGGTATAATTCACATAACTTCAAATTAAAGTGTCAATCTAGTGCAATTTCTGGGAAATTCTTAGAGAAGATTTCCAAAAGCCGCGAAATCTGCAATCCTATTCCAGTTTTGTTGTTGCTGGAAACCTGAATGAAAGTGAAATATCACAGATTCAACTTCCTCTGAAATGCAACAGTATGTTCACAATGAAAACACAAACCCACTATGCTTTTTTGAATGCTGCTGTGTCAAAACAGAAGTCCTGCAAGAAAAACCTGTAGTAGGTAACTGATGCTTGGAGTTGAACAGCAGCATTCAAGATGGAACATAGCTTCTGTCAGAAGAAAAAAAAAAAAGTTGCAAAAAGAACAAGACTTCAGAGTATTGAGTAAAGCGTGCAGATGATCAATCACAAAATATGCATAAGAGACAATGGATGACAGGATCCTTTCTATTAGCAGCAATACCACAGCGGTTGCAGAAGCTCACTAGCACCAAAACTGTTACTGTTTGAATACTGAAAGTGAAGAGGACAAAAATACTGGTAAAAACAGATTAATCTCAGATAATTTGATTATGCAGAAAAAGAAAGAGCTGCAAATCAAGAATAGCTTGCATTCACCAGAAATAATATCTTATAACTAGGAGGTTATAGCAGTGACTAATCTCAGAGTAAGAACAGCTCTCTCTATTAGGTTGCTTGGAAGCTAGTAAATTCAAGATTCAACCAAGACATATATCCACTGTAAGCAGGTGGTTGAGTTTGGAGGAACACTAGATGTTCATCATGACAAAAGGAAAGTTCATCATATATCCAGACAACCTGTTGATGGATAAACTTGCCATAGATAATCTAGAACTGAAGATGAAGTCAGAAGCAGTGAAATCAAAAGCAGCAGATGTCTCAACAGCTTGAGTAGAGCATCCTTGAAGATGAGAGATGATACCAAAAGAACAAGGTGTAAATGAACTGTGGCTGCTCCACCCTTAGAATCAAGGCTCAATAAGTGTATCTGCTCCCATCCCATGCCTTCCTCCTACAGTATTTAGGAGCAAAAAGAAGCTTAGCTACCAGAGCAAAGCAGCTAATAAATTCCTTTGGCCAAGATTCAGTTTACGCAGTTACATGTGACAGAAATCATTCAAAGCATATTTTGCCACAATATACTGTAAAGTCACTGGTAGACAAAAATGCAACTTACTTGAATATTAAATAGATCAGGATTTGTATGTTTTAGTGAACATCCAAAGAGAATGACAAAGCTCTTTAGTTTCAGAAGCTGGATCAAGTTCAGAACAAAATGGGCTTTGATGTCACACACGTATGTCGTCATTTATACACTACTCTGGCTTGGGATGATATTGATAGACTTGGGCATCAAAGAAACACTGCAAATGAGCAGCAAAGAAACATTGCATCTCATAAGTGAAACTACTGGTAAGCCTCTCTTCAAAGGAGTATAGCCCCCAAAAAGCTGCAAGTCAATGCTGCAAAGCAGAGAACATTATCACAGAAGGGCCTTTGCCAGATTACAATACTGGGAGAAAAGACCAGACCTGCTGCCTGAAAGATGCAAGAAGAGAATACCACAGCTTCAATGTATGAAGAAAAAGGAAAAGGTCTGGTCAGATCCTTGTTTGCTTACATACCAAAATAATCCCAAGCTGGACTGGGTTCAATTTTCTGGTCCACAATGATGTATCAGTGAGCCAAGGCAGTATAGGATACCTGCTCACTTTCAACTCCCCTGCAACAAAAATGTCTGCTGTCAGTTCATTTTAAAATATGTTAATTGTTGCGCAAAGCAGAGAGTTGAGCATTAGAAGAGTACTGGCACAGCTATTAAGCCTTACACCTCAGCACAAGGTGGGTCACTAAACAAACAAGACAACTTTGTGCAGTGTAACAATTTTAAAAAGCAATTCCTGCTGGAACATCTCCAGCTAGGTTATCTGTATTACTAATGGCAGGATTCTGGTCCAAAGACAGTCTCATCAACACTACACAGAGCCCATAGAATATGTCTGGTCATTAGCAATAAAGATGAGTTTTACACCACATACAGACAGCCTGATATATAATAAAAGACACCAAAAGATGCCATGTGAGAGATGCAAGAGAAGATCCAAAAGTGTTTAAGATTTTAACTGTGAGTCATTGTTTCTGATGATGAAGTGTTTCTGAAGAGCCCCATAAACAAGTCATATCTCATTGAACTATAGGTCAAAGAATGGAAAGAAACATACATAGATCACTGAGAAACTACACAGAAGTTACGAGTATTGTCTGCAGGTTCCTTTTCTTCTAAAGCAAACCACAGAGTACAATGAAGAACCAACCCACAAAAAGATGACCATGTTTGTGTGTATTCTGTACTGCAAGTCATGAAAAAAAACCTGTTACACTGGTATATTCATGCTCTTAGGTTTAGCAATGATATATTCTTGTCCAAAGTATCACAGAATTAGTGTACAAAATAGGACAAGATTTACTGAAATTAATGAAGTCTATGAGCATGACGGCTTCAAAAAGCAGATAATATCACCTCATGTAGTACCAGTAAATAATCTTATGCCAACATCAGAGCTCTCAAAAATAACGGCTATCTGCATCTGTCATAATCTAACAGCTTCCAGAAAAAAACCTGCACACATTCTTCACTCTACTTCAAATTTTTTCAGTGCTCACCCATCTGTTTCTGAGCAATACATACTTTGTAAATACAACATTCTTAAATATTTTCATGTAACATCTCTGCAATACATTCAAGACAGCAAGATCCTTGTGCAGTACTGACAACAGCCTGCCACAACCATACCTTACTGTCCAAAACATCTATAACCTTTCCTTACATATAGTTCAGCAAGTATTAATTCCCAACACCCTAGTGTCAGCTCCAAGAAGAAATGTCAAGGTTGTATCACAGCTCAACACTTAATTTTCCATTGTTTGAGTTTCACTGGAATCTAAACTGTTAAAGGACACAAGCTACCCTGGATTAATGAAGGGAATACAGCTCACCCTCCTAGATGACTTTCCAGTGTTTTGTCCAATTTCAATATTCTGTGCTCCAAAATCAGAAATTTCATTCTTCAAATGGCCTTTTGGAATACTTCCCCAAATTAACTTCCTTCCCCTGCTCATTCCTGTCAGAGTATCTCCAATTCTTTTAAATAATGTCTTTTAGTCATCCCATCAGACCACCAGTTTTATTCAACTGCATCACATTCTAAGCAGTTACTAGTAGAGGTCTGAAGTTTATAGCATATATTTCGCTCTCGCATCATTTGGATCAGATGTCAGATTATTCCAGTACTCCCTCTTACTGGCCATTTTATGGAAACTGAGAGAGAAAATATTTAATAGTTATGAAATAACCTACTGGGGATACTTCCAACACTCAGTGAAGGCCGATTTACGATTAGAGGCCTAAGAACTTCTCACTCCTTTGGAAGAGCTCTCACCGTGCATGAGGATGTGCAATCCCTTTTAGAATCCCGCTATAGGCTAGATAGACTCAATGACACCTTGCTGTTAAATCAGGGTTCAACTATTTTCTTCCATCTTTTAGAATATCTTTCTTTGCAGTCTAATTGTCATTTTTATTTCTGTGTTCTGAAACAGATTAGAGAGGACTTAAATGTTTGATTACAATGCTACATTGTAAAGCCTCCAATGCCGTTCCAGAATAATCGGGGATGGCTTAGCACGTTTGATTTTTCTAAGGTTAAAAAAAAACAAACAACCCAAGCAACCCTTGCAACACAATCTCCACATTACTGCAGGTTCTTTTTCAAATCCTTAAAAATCTGAAAGCCAAAAGCCTCACATTGATTTGTCTTTAAAAGCCAGAATCAACAAGTTAATATAAACCAGTATACCTTTGTCATAAAAATAACATAATTTTGAAAATAATTTTTAAATGTTTGGAAAAGATTAAGACTGACCATGTCCTACTTCAATAAAGCTATTTTAAAAATTCATATTAATATTACGTAAGGAATATTGAACACTCATTTAATAAAGCTATTATTAAAAGCAAGTCAAAGTAAAAGTCTTACTATGTCCAGACTTAGATCAGGATCAAGAAGTACTAATACTGCAAGAATTATTTATATCTCTTTGGCCAAAGAACAAAAACCTGATTTTGATTTTGGTTGCAGCAGGTAATCATTTTATCTCCCTGTTCTTGTAATTGTGGACACTGTAAGACAAAAAGCACTAGTATAATAAGGATCTGTGTTCAACCATACATTTCAAGTTCTATGAAATTCAAAAGAAACCCAAGTTTGAAGTGCAAATTTTGGCCACCTGTCACTAAACTAATAGAAATAAACATTTAACAGTAAAACAAAACTTACTCAGATACTTGTTCGGCAGCTGGGATATCTACAGAAACTGAAAATAAAAATAAAGGATTTAATTAAAAATATTTTAATATGTGGAAACACACTTTTAAATCCAAGTACACAGAAATAATGATAATGAAACTGAAAAAAGGACTGCAATAACACAGAGACCATCCACATGTAAGTAGTTACATATGTATACTATATGAAAGAGACACTTTATGTACTCACCTTTCTCTATAATAACTTGACAAGTATGAGTGTGGCTTTCACTCAGATGTGCAGCCATACTATCTAAGCCAGAAACGTCAGTCAGGAAATCACAGTTAAGACATACTACAGTCACACCTCTAGAGAAGAAAAAGTAATAAAGAAGTATAAATATAACACGGTTGTGAAAACAGTTTTCTTAACCTACAGCAACTGGACAGACTATTAAAAAAAAAAGAAATTCCTGCAACTTCATATGAAATGACTCACTTTTTATACTGCATCTAGCACCTGGAAATCCCAGTCAATGACCAGGGTATCTCCATGCTGGATGTAGTACAAAGAACACCACTTTAGACAAATTGATTTGTAAAGCATCAGTTTCTCAGGTTTCGTTGGTTGGTTTTTATTTCCCTTTTCACCCTCCCATTTCACACATCATGAATAAATAGAAAATAAAGAACTAGAAATCTTTTTTAAAACTGCTCAGCGTTGAGAATGAAGTCAACAAATGTGGACAAATAACAGGTATTTGTCACTGAAGAGAACACTGCTAGTGGAAGAGCTAATGTTTTTATTTCCCTGCTCTTTCTAAATTGTGGAAGTGTAGAAATTCAAGAGACTCTAATTTCATTTAACTAATCAATTCACTGACAGAAAGCAAAAACATAATTATCAGATGTAACTGAAAAAAGGTGAATTACCGCAGTTGTTCTGAATGCTTCTTATAGATCCAAAATCTTTTACTTGGACGAGCACTGTGAAAACTAAATATAAGAATACATTACCACTTAGACTGGCTTTTCTTGAGTACATTATTCCATATATCCCCTACACTGTACATAGTACTGCAATTTGCTTATGATAAGGCATGAAAATAGAAGGCTCTATTACTGACCTGCATTAGTCTAAAACATTAAATTGCTGTAAGCTCATGGGCTTGTGAATCTCAGCTCTAGTTCAAAACATTGGCTCTCTTGTAAATAACAAGTTTGGGAGGGGCAAAGGCATATGTGTCAGCACAGTCCTGCAAGAACACAGTTATTATTGCTTCCGTCAGCAGTTCAGCTCTTGAGGCACCATGGCTGTAGCTATACAGCGCTCCACAAAAAAAAATGAAGCTTTGTTGAACTCACACTTCCTAAAGAGATGGCTTTAAATGAGATAAAAACACATTTTCAGACAACCTCTAAGTTATTTTATGTGAGGGTTAAGTATGTGCCAACACTGTACTCCCATATGAAACAAAAAGTGAGCTGCTACTGCAGAAACACCCTCCAACAGCCTTCTTCCTCACCATCCCTTGTTCCTTACACTCACCAGAAAAGGTGATGACAGATGCTGCAAGAGGTCAAAGTAGGGGAATCATGTGTTTATCAACAAGACAAGAGACAAAAAAACTGGCTATTTTACTGCATGGTTGAATTTGACAACACCCAAAACATGGGTGACAGTAGGAACAGTTCACCTCAGATTTCCCTTTCCCCTTCTGGAGCAAACTTTCTCTTGTACAATCAGAATCAAGCACATTAGTTTTTATTATTTTTTTAGGTTATATGCATAAAAGCATGTAAGTTATTTCAGCCTAGGACTTACATAAGCGTTGATATTAATATGAATAGGCCAACGTATAAAATATATACAAAAACTTTTAAAGACTTGAGTCACAAATTCAAGAATTCTAGCATTCAAAAATGCCTTGGCATTTTATACATACATGTATTTAAAAAGACAACTGCATGCTGTACTTTTCCGCACTACATTTGTCTTGTTTGGGGCACAGGATTAACAAGTAGGTTTTCAAAATTTTATTTTACCATCACTGCTACATTATCTGTGTCTAACTATTGCACAGTGTAATTCTATTGCTTTGAAAAACTGTTGTGTTTGTTTGCTTAACAGGCTTTCTTACAGCTGCCATCACTGATACCCTACACAACCAGTGTAAAATCCTCCTGCAAAGTGAGATGTTATCTTTATGGAGGACCAGAAGTAGTATAAGAAAAAGTATCCACTTGAGTATGCTATTTGAGACATCTTTTACATGGTATTATAAGCAGAGATTTCATTAGCAACAGTTGTATTAATTCAGCACTTAAAAAATCAGATGAGGTATTCAATCTGAAACCGAGAGAACACGAACAACTAGTCATTATTTGGTAAGCCTGGCTGAAATGATCACAGAAGATCCCATAGAAACTGAAGCAAAGATAGAACACTGCCTGAACCACTGGATTTTTAAGGCAAAACAAGAACATGGGGTTTAGGCCCTTATTACAAAGTAAAAATCCAACCTTACATGTTTCCCGGCCAGCCCTATGACCCAGTTCAAAATTCAGCTAATGGAAACACTCAACACACCTTTTATGAATTTAGGAAATATTTGATAACCCAGTAAAAATTCTGAGTTCTTACCTCATCATGTGGTTCACATAGGCTTTGCTACAGCTAGTGTTGTATCTGCATAAGCTGCAGTGGACATAAGCAGGAAAATGGCTTGCAAAATCTTTTATTTCTGAGTAACACTCAATGCATTTGTGAGGTCCCAAACGATACCTAACAGTAATATGAAAAAATAAATAGCTCATATCAGCACTTGAAGATGAAATAACTATTTCAAACTTTTTGCTTTAAGTCAGTAGCAAGCTTGCCTACATTAGAAAAAAAAATTAGAAACTTCAAAATATATCTGTTAAATATTTATTTTAGATTATGTTAGCACATATGGGGACAACCTTGTTTTTTCTTGAATTATACTGTCATTATGACCTTAATAAAAATGTGAAAATTAATGTAAGCATCTGTTATTGGCCACTCCTGGGAACAAGATACTGCAGTAGATGACAACCTCCAACTTTGGCTACTGGTGTTGTCTCTAAGTACTTGAGATGGATTTCAAGAAATGCTTCATTCACTGCGATTCAGAGAAAAAGATTTTGGTTTTCCCGTCACCCTTGATATTCCCCACAAGCTCTGAAATACCTACAAAGCAAGAGTAAAATCCTGCTCTTCCTCAATTTTGCTGGCCATTTTTGGATGTCTCAGGGAGCTACACACTGTGAGTGTTAGCACCTTACTGGTAGAGAGACAGCTACAATCTTTGACAAAGAAAATGCTAACTCATCTTGGCCAATGAAATTATGTACTAGTCCATATAACACCAGTTTTTAATATAAGGAGAGAAACCCCCAGGAAATTATCAATATAATAATAGCATTCTACCAACAACTTGCTTTTACTTTCTTGATTTTTTTTTTTGGTAGCTCTCCAAATTAAAATATCTTCTAAGACAGATAAGACTTAACCTTTTAAATAACACATTAAAATAACCCTTGAAGGAGGAAAATACTTTTCCCTCCATAACAAAGCTTGCCGAGAACACCCAGGCAGATGTATTCCCCCCACACAAATCACTTTTAAACATACATCTGCCTAATGAGACAGTATTTCAAGAGTCTGTGGCCCTGTACAGAAAAAAAATTCTAAATTTAGAACAGAAAGGTTTCCAGAACATCTGTTTTTCCGTCATAAAGTAGTCTACCACCAACAAAATTGGTGAATGAAGATTCAAAAATAAAAATCACAGTGCCAGGATGTGGGAAGTTTATGCATCTGCTTTTTCTGCAAAATGGTGTTGTCAAATCTCCTGTATTAGAAGTTATCAAAAAGTAATTAAACGAACAGTTTTTTATATTCAAAGTAGACTTAAAGATATTTTTAATGCTAAGATTTTACCTTAGATTATGCAATGCCGTATTTGTAATTTCTTTTTTTTTTTTACTGTTGGTCCATGCATTCTGCTTCTTTGATGTTGCTGGTTTTGATTTTGCTCTTGACTTATTTGTATTAGATCTGTTATGATTTTTAGTGGTTGTATTTTTAGCTTTAGGTGATAACTGAAACGTGGAAGCACTTGTACTAACAAAAGACGTAGCTGATGATCCTGATTGAAGAGATCCAACAGATGCTCGAATAGTCACCTAAAAGTATGAAATGAAAAATTTTTCTATTTAGATTTAAGCTTTCTAGGTTCACATCTCTATTTGGCCTAAAGTTTAAGCAACTTTAGGACAAAAATCATAGCATAAGAAACACTCCTCAGTAAAGACTGCTTTGAAAAATACAGAATGCTGTTGATTAGAGAAAAACCTAATCTCAATAGTCTATTGGATGCTTAAAAAGCTCTTTTGGTGGAAATAGCCAAGACAAACACTGCTCTTTTCAGACCTGCTGCTGACAACATCCTGCTTTCTTAAAACAATAAAATGTAGCTATGGAAAAGAAACAGAAAGGTCAGGCCAATTAACACTACTAAGAAGAATATCATACAATCCCATCAGTGCCTGGATTTAACAAAAGCCCTGTGTTTTGTTGCCTGTTATTGGCCAATCTACTTCCTTCAGATACTTTTGCTCCTCATCATAATCGTCCCCCCCCGCCCCGGACTCATTCTGATTTCTGACCTCTCATCTGACATTACCGAACTCCCTTGTCTTGCCCTTAAATTTGGTTCTCCAGTTTTCACTCACAGCATGACTCCTAATAATACTTCTTTTCTATACTCATAGTTTAGAAGCACCTCATCTTTTAAACCTGGCTCCAAGCTCTTCAGTCTCATCATCTACACCCTGTTAAGGGCTACTAACACCAAGATTTTAACATAATCTAAGCTTTTAGTAGACCATGAAGACCCTGAAATCTTTAGAAAATTGAGGTATTGTCACAGAAGAGAGAATCAGTGCTTTATATTCTGCCAAGAAACACAACTTCATTCATTTTCCCTTCCTGATTCCACAGCAAATGAACTGTGAAGAGCTGATCAAAATGTTAATTTTTTTTCTTCCTTTCAACTGGAAGGACATCTATCTTCCCACTTCATTGAAAACCTGTAGGAAAGTGTCTTGAAAACTGCAGGAAAATCCTAGTCTAGGTCATTCCCTCTCAAGAAATGGAGGAATGATTTAAAACATCCTGAGGGCATCCAAGTTTACTTCATAAAACAGAAAATTGTGGGGCTCCTTTTCCCCTTCAAACGCTGGAGCTAAAACACTATATGATTTTTTTTTTTGCCACTATCTTCTACAAGTTGAAAGTCTTTCACAATAAATTATTCAGACCCTTCAGGCCAACATCTAGACTATCTCCTTTCCTCCTAGGACAAGAAAGGATAAATGGGAGAGGGCAAACTAACCAACAGCTCAAGAAAGCAGCTGCACTGACTGCACTACTTGCATATACACGTATGGAAGAATGGGACAGACAGCACTCCTGCAGGTCACCAGGAAAAAACCAAAAACTCCCTGGCAATTGTAGCAACAGGAGTATTATTTAGATTTTTAACTGGGGGTGAAGATCTTTGCTTTTGAAAAGAAAGAAAGAAGGGCTCTTCTCCTATTCCACCCCTTTCTCCACCAATACATTTTTAAATTTTGTCCCCTCTAATTTTCCTGTATGGACACTTACCTTTGTTCCAGGAGGCAATCCTTCTAACTGTTTGGGTTTCCTAAATGTTCGGTGATGCTGAGTCTTGTGATCCATTTTTTCTTTACATGTCAAAAATTGCAGTCTGCACTTAGTGCAACGGTATATTCCTTTTTTCTTTTAAAAACAGAAGACAACTGAAAGTAAGTATTAATGTAATGATAAACAAAATTCCAACCCTAGCCTGTCTCAAGCAATAGTTACCCAGTTTCTAAAACATCAACTGGACAAACCCCTTATATTGTACAAAGCCAAGATACTGTGTAGGAGTTAAAGAGAGAATATTTAAGTACTCGAAAATGCAAGGCTGTATCGTTACTAAGAGGAGCAGCAATCAGGTTACCAGTTACAAAAAGACACAGTACTTCGTAATCTTTTTCTCTACTTGTACTAGTAAAAGGTTTGCTAGTAACCTCAAGAAAAGCAGAATACATGACTACAACTTAATGAAGAAACTAAGTAGTAGAGACATTCTTTAAAAAAAAAAAATCTCTGAATAACCTTGAAACAGGGAGCTACTGTCACACAAAAACATGAGAAATTCTAACAATCCCCTTAAAGAGTTTTCAAAAGACAGAGTTGTAATTCTTCTACCGTATTTTTTTTATCTATTCTTATCCAGTTACAACCATACATTTAGCATTTTTCTACCATTAAAGGACTGAAAATACCTGCTTACCTGATGCCTCATGTAATGATGCATATATGGTGCTCCAATTTTAATTACTTTGAGGCAAAATGGGCATAACAAATGTTTTGTATTTTCATGAACTGTTCTAAAATGTGTTTCTACATCTGAAAAAGCTGAGGATCTGTAGTTGCATACCTAAAATAAAAAGTTTTACTTCCTTGTTAAAAGTTTCTTGACAGTAAAGACGGGGGGGGACATAATCTAAATACAAAACCGTCACTCTGAGATACCTGGCAAACATACGGCATTTCACCTGGCTTATGATTGTCCTTCATATGTTGCAAAAGAACTTGCTCTGTTTCAAAGGATAATTCACAGATTTTACAAATTGCTAGAAAAAGTGAAAAACAAGAAAAAAGTGAAAATTTGTTTGGGGTCATAAATACATAAATTTTAATACATATACATATGTGAACTGTATAAATCTATAAAGGTAAACAATTTAATGATTACTGTAGTCTTCATAAAAAATTCCCTGTACAATTTCAGTAAGCCAGGAGTGCAAGGCCCTTACACAACAGGAATTCTTGCAGTCAAGCATATAATAAAAAAAAACCAAAAAGCTTTTTTCCCTACATACATTGCTCTAACATAAATTGAATAAATGTTCAGCTTCTATATTAAATCTCAAGATTATTGCTCTTAAAGTACAATAGCTTTATTTTGCAAATGAAAAATCAGAAAATATCTAAAAATTGTAGATATTGTAGAAATTGTAAAAAAGATTCAATGTGATCCAATGCAACTTACTAGATGACTCGTAAGGCGTGTGTGTACTTTCAATGTGGCACTGGAGCTGGAAGGGGGTGGGAAACTGACGGTAACAGTGCTGACAGGTGGTATGGCTTTCCCAGCTTTCACTGCTCTGCTTCTCAAGCTCCAAGTGATGCTTCATGTGGTTCATAAACCTTTAAAAGACAATGAACAGGTGCAAAAAAAAAATATCTGTATTTTAATATTCACCATACATGACATATCCTATGCAAGAGGTACAGGATTCTTTAGAAACTTTACTCCATAAGGACTTCTCTATTTAAAAAAAAAAAAATCTAAGGAATGAGTGTTCATTAAAGAAAGTAAAAATAAAAAGGCAACGAAGTTAAGCAAGCTGAGTATGCCAGAAATCATCTTCCAAAGCTTAAAAAGAAATCTTGACTATTACAATGAACATGCAATATATCCAAAGCATGTTCTAAGACTAAAATACTATTGGATTTTTCATGTTTGCTTTGACAAAATTGTTGCTTTGAAATAAAGGGAAATTAGCACAGGCAACAACAACAAAACTTGGTGGCTGTACAGATTTCACCACCACCAGTGTCTCGCAGCCACATTTCTGAGGAAAAGTGTAACTTCAGCTCTGCTGAAAACTATTAAGTAGCATGAACATAGCTGCAGTTATATATATATAGCTGTATCTGAAACCACCTCCATTCAAAACTGGCATGGTTCCAGGAGTTTTTGTTGTATAGAGCATTCAGGACTGAAGTCGAATTACGAAGGACAGTTATCAAAGAATGCCACCGTGCAGCTGACAATCCAAACAGCATGAGAGACTTGGTGCTACGTTACTACTTCCAGTTACCACCTTTTCCTCATTAATATGTCCCCCTGTCTGTAGTAGGAATCTCTCCTGGCTGAAAAGTCTAGGCACCCATCGGAGTGTTTCCAGGTTAGTGTTACTGGTGGAGCAGCACAAGGACAGGTTAGTTGCACAACCCACTACTGCAAAACTTCAAAAACTGTTCTATTTTGAATGTGATTCATTTCAGTACAGCCAGAGGAAATACTAAATGTAGGTCACGCTCACAAAAGGCATGTAGTTCTCAAAGTGCTGACCTTGGAATCCAAAAAAAAAAAAAAAGAACGAGCAAGGAGAATATTCTCTTGAGCTCAAGCTTCTAATACCACATAACTTAAAAAAGAACAAAAAATTAAAAAAAGCTAACTGAAGATATCCTGGTACCTAAACAGAAGAAAGGAATTGACACCAGTACTGCATACTACCTTAACAGAACATTATTTCAATGGTGTGTTCAACCACAGATATTTGAAACGAAGCAGGGGATTACCCTGATGGGCTTTTCTGAATTAAAGTCCATAAAACTTCCGCTGTGAGTAGAGAGGTACTATGTACTTATTTTTGGTTAAAGGTGTAAAATATACCTTGGAATAAAAATTACAAAACTATAGCATACAGCTTAGGACAAGTTATCAGCCCTATTACTTAGGATTTAGACATACTTAATGATCAATAGCAAATTCAATATTTGTAATTACATGGAACTTGTGTTTTGTTCAATAATATAGGTCTAATGTTTACATAAACCTATTCATTTTAACTTGCAGACTGTGCCCTTCAAAGAAATAGTCCATTTTTCAGTTTTACATTCTGCTACTTCAGCTTCCCTTGAAGAATGCACAGAAAAAATTCAATGACCTTAGCTTCCAAAGGAACAATGACACGAACTTGTCTACCTATTAAAACAGCTTACTGAAGTTCTTCTGCAGCGTTTTGGATGTAAAATTATTCCATCAAAATAACAGATGTTACATAAGTAAAGCACCAACTATTAGTCATTGTGCATCCCTAAAGGGAATAAACACTCACAACTACTGATATCACCATCAATCCAGATGGCAAATTGTAAAATACTTTCTGCCCTTTCTAACCCCTAAGTCCTACAACTGCTCTTGTTAAAACTCTACACCATTAAAATTTGTACTCTAATCTGTAAAAAGTTTAAGTTATGGCCATACGTGCATGGTCAAAATTAATTCCATTTCTGTTCAATCACCCAATATTATCAGTTTTCAGTAAGAAAAAAGCTTCTGTTCCAGAAAGACAAATCATTAATGCATAAGACTAAGTGCTATGGGCTGTGATTAAAAAACAATTAAGGAAGTGAGTTCAAATACCTTATGTTATTTTTAAGAACTTTCAGACAACTGAAGCACTTAAATGTTGTATGAGTCTTCTGTTCCTGTTGTACCTGCTGGCTGTCACCTTCATGTTTCCCATAGTAAAAGTCGTTAACTAACATAATCAATTTTCCTTTCTCAGATTCAGCAGTCTTGCTTGTTGTGCTCGAACATTCTGTTTGGGCCACTCCTGGGAAAAAGTTATCTACCATATCTGGACAGCAATACTGGATGGAAAGGGGGAGACAGACAGAGACAAAGGTATCAGTCTCTTACCAAACTGCGTCAATGAAAACAGCATTTTAAAAACTGAAGCCACTCGCTAACTACAGTTAGATCCAAAGCTCAGCTCTGTGACACACTGACTTCGTTCATATTCACATATGGATTTTGAACAGTAACTGATCTTCCAGTAGTGTTTAGGTAATAAACCACTATATATTACAAAAACTGAAAAGGAGTTATTTGCATAGGTTCATGTAAGAGAAATTTAAGCTTGAAATCAGAATACCAGTGTTGCCTTACTCATTAGAAAGATGTCTACTTCATTTAAATTTAATAATGAGAATGAGAAAAGCAGCTTTTATGCAAGTACTTTCCTGACAAGCATAAGTTTACTGAGAACTTAATGGAAAGTTATGTTTTATTTCTTTGGGGAAGACATATGTTGAAACCTGCAGAAGTTCTTTCCAGCCTAACTGAAAAAATCAGAAATTCTAAGTCACACAACATACATTGTCTAAGCTTCTTTGTGTTGAACTGTACATAATGAATGCTTAACGCAATAGCTATAATATGAAACTTAACGCTTAAAAAGTATGAAGTACTTCATACAGAAGAAGCTATGAAGTTTCCAACCGTGAACAAAATTAGCATGTTTCATAGGACAGATCTTTCTCCTGCTGAATACAGGTTCTTATTGTGCAGGACTACTTTCTGCAAGCCTACTAGCAGGGAGTTCATTTCCTACTGTGGAACTGTAACTCGCTTCTACAGTGGCTATATTTATACCATATAGTATGGTATAATATCACTATATTTATACCATATAGTTTAACTAAAAATTTAATAATACTATATAGACCCATTCTTCAATGGTTCTTTCATTGGGTGCTGTACTCAGTGCAAAAGCAATTCTCTACAAATGATTAGAGAAAGATAAACCCCTTGCTTTTCCCTCCACTGTTATGTATGTTTCCTAATTATGTTTTGTAGCTGAAGGGCAAAGTAGCTACCATTTAGGGTATCTTAAGCCCAGTAAATCAGAATCGTCTGCGGTAACAGCAACGCAGAGCCTCACAGATTTCTATTACACAGCAGTTTCTACTCCTTTTTGCATGAGTTATTCACATTGTATATGGAGTGCAAAGCTGTTTCTCTGCCCCCTGGAATGGAATACATATGCCTGAGAATTGCATAAATCATAATAAATATTTTCCAGGAAACAATCACAAATATTTCATAAGCAGACCAAGTGATGCTTAGTTCCTGGAAGCTTTGTTTCTCACAGTGTTTAGGTATGAACTACAAATTAAGTTTTTCCCTTCAGTTTAAGAACTCTTTTAGCTATCAAATAATACATAAAAAAAAGGTACGTTTCCATTGTCATCTTTGTCTTAGTACTGATCTAACACAGGTGTGGGCCAACAGGCTGCCTGTTATCATAGGCACTCACCTTCATCAAATTCACCTGAATCTGGCCAGTGGTTCAATAAGTCACAGCCATGGTAGAGAGAAATCACACAAAGCCAGCAAATATGTCTCAATTAATTAGAAAAACAAGGCAAGATTTAGAGCTCCCCTACTCCATTCTTCCTCTCCATGACTGCAAGACATTGAATGCTTGGGCTCTGGTTGATTGTAGCCAGAAGCCAGACTATCTTCATATCAAAACATGGCACTCTTTCATAACCAAAGAGAAGCGCATGTAAGTTTGTTATGTTTACCGGCCCCAAAATATTTTACCTTCATATGATTTTTCAGAGGATCCATAAGATTGAAATGAATATTGCACTTTGGACAAGCTCGTGGAAAAGGTCCTCCATTTTTAATGGTGCTTGATGCAGCATTTGTATCTGTAAAATTTAAAATATGTTAAGATTCAGATTTCACAAGCAGAATACATGATTTATTATTATTTATTCTAAAAAAATATGCTATTTTAAATGAAAACTATTACAATTGATGTAGTTGTAGTGACTACAAGCAAGGTCTTACAACCATCTTTTAACCACCGTTCCTTTTTTCCTAACTAAGTTTGAGTTTGTTCTGCTTGATATAGACCTTTAACAACTTTTATAAAATCTTAGCAGTAAATAAGTTAAAAACGGAAGAGGGTGAAGACAGCATAATAGAGACAAAGCATTAATTCTGTCCACCACCACCTCCCTAACCCCACAGATAGGACAGATTATTTTATGCTTTTGTTTTAAGAACTTTAGTTCTCAAATGAACATGTAAAACTTGTTTTATGCCATGACTCAATCATCACCATAACAGGGTTCACATAACTGGTTTTGGAAAGGAATTTCACCAACTGGTTCTCAATGACGAGAATATTTCTCTCTGGACAGCTGATGGAACCTAGGCCTATTCAGATGCATCATTCCTGTTGAGCAAAGGTGTCTTTGGAGAACCTGGAGAATAAATCCTCTAAATAATTACTCCCAGCAGTGAAAAGAAACAATATTTCTTTTAAGAACTTAAGATGATTAATGCCTTTTGAGCAAAACCAAAAATCTTTGCATTAGCTTGAACTTTAATGAATAAATCCAGGCTTCCAGTTTTCTCCATACTGCCAAAAAACACCAGAGGGAGAGCTACTTTCCCAGATGAAGTTCTCTTGCATTCTCAAGTCATTCACAAACCTGGAAGACTCCATGCTAAGTATGTACTTTAAAAGAACAGGTTAAACACGGGAAGAGTTTTAAGTAACATCTCAACTGTAGAGTCAACTGCACCCTGCCAGGGCCAGGAAAAAATGTAATAAAAATAAACAGACAAGTATCTCTACCTTAAAACAAAGAAATGAGTAAGTATATGTGTGAAGAGATGACCATGCAACAGTTACACACTTTTTCAGAAAAACAGTCTTGCATAGTCCATGAGGTAGACATGGATCAAACAGTGTTTTTCCTTGAAGATAACAGCATTGTTAAGAATCATAATTAAACAGAAAGTCCTTCATGTGAGTGGATGGCCATGCAAGAGATACACTGCAAAACAGTGCTGCAAGTCTTCACTATTAGGGTTTATAAAACTTTTTGACACATCACAGCAACTGCAAGCTGATCTGCAAGAAAACAGGTTTAGCAGCAAGATCTGGTGTTCTGCGGTGCTTCAGTGCTGGATTCTGTGACAGATTAGAAATCACTATGCTAGCATTGGCATGGCTTAGAGACAAACTCATAAAAATAAGGTTCTCAGTGAATATGATATACTCCCTTGTTACTGCATTTAGTAAGATCCTCCAATTATCTTTTCTATATTATAGGCTGCAGCACAATATATTTTACCCAAGAGAGGGCGGAAGAAATTTTTTTGCTGCAATATTCCATGTTACAGCCACTTCCTTCTGGTTGCTGAGGAAGGGTCTGATAGCAAACCAGCTGCAAACAAGACATGCAAAAAACCAAATATGAAATTATTCCAAACAACAGAATCACACTGTAGGTAGCTCCTCATTTTAACATTACAGGAGAAAGTAATGTGGTTGGAAATATCTCAACATCAAGAATAAATCCTCGTCTATTGCAATCAGCTGGAAAGCACCTTGAAGCTTAGGAGGAAAATACACCTAATTATTAATACACTGCAGCAAGATTACCTCTTTTCCTGTAAGGAGGGAAAGGTCTTTCAAATATCATCCTCTCCTTGAAACTTAGATCCCCCCTCCTCCTTTCCCACTACTGCTTAAAACTGGAAAGGTATATAAATCCTTGCATAGGAAGGTTTTTCTTATTTGAAGGCATAAGAACAGAGTTTACTTATTTACAGTGCCTTAATAGCATTAATAATAGTGACCAACTGAAACATGACAAGAGTGCCAGCTTTTTCCATGAAACAGGTGCATGGGTTCCAGCTAGACCATTTAATCTACCCTACCTTTTGAAGACACATTTTGTGATGATGTTACTCTTAGAGAGTTAACTGTAGCTGAAACAGCTTGAATTGTTTCGAGCACCAACCTCACTAGGCTTGGCCTTTTTTGGAGTTACACTGTTGCCTTCAGAAGTAGCAGGACACTTAGATACAAACCCCCCCTCTCATTAATCTACAGTGGTTTAAATTAAAGAACGTCAAGGTTTTTGCCATATTATATTACACATTACCAATGCCTGTACTTTGGCAGATAGACAACTCTACGTAAAACAGTTAAGATCTCCCTAAATAATAAGTCATACGGAAGTTAAGGAAACAATATTCAACTCAGACTGAATATTTAAGGCCAGTGAAGAAGGAAAAGGTAAATACAAAGAGATACAGTCACATCCCTGAAATCCAATAAGTTATACTATGACCACCTGAATTTATATGTCCCACTTTCTGCATCTTGACCCACACTAATCTGAGACAAGGCGAGTTCACCGTAATAAAGTTCAGCTAAGCAGCTGCTGTCTGCAATGCCCGCTATTTGGAACAACCTCTGCCCTTCCGATGAAAAATCTCTCTCCTTTTTTTCTGGTGCTATGCTAATGCTGGTTTAGTTTTCTATTTAACTCTGTAAAATATTTGAGACTTCAGACTGTATGCAAAATGAAAAGAGTGTTGTAACTTCTAATGATCAATCACAGCACACCTATTTGCTCTTTTCTGAAAGAGCAGCTGATTCACTTACTGCTTGCAGTGTTTCTTCAAAAAAAGAATATCACTAAAAAAATAACTAAGACATTGAGAGGTTTTGTGCCTGATTAACATAGCCATCAATATTTGACTCCATCTTGTTGTGAAACCCATGTCTTTGTCACTGTAAGATTACCCTTGATGATGTAATCTCAATACAGACATCAGTCCTCAAGAGGACCTGACAGAGTACAGCTACATACCAACAAGCCTGAAGTGCCAGCACAGGCCTTGTAAATCTCTCACAATCACAGACTGCAAAGAGCCTCAGACTACATTACACTATGAGAAGGACCGGGCTTCAGTAGCAAACACCATGATCTGAACTAAGGACGTGCCTTTGTATATCCTTCTCCCAATGGCCTAGCTTCTCCAGTGACTTCTTTGGGTGTGATAAAAAACTGAAATAGCACCTAGAAAAGTCTTCTCAATTGGCAGAGATAATTTGTATCACACAAAATTTTTCAAACTTCTTCTCAGAAAAAAACCAAACAACCTCCTCCCACCCCTAAATTGTGTTTACTCAGTGATACCCATCTACACATAGCAAACAGCCTGGAGAGTCTCCCCATTCAATCCACAGAAGCAAAGAATCCCAGCAGGGAATGCCAATACTTAAGCATCTTGGAGAATTTACCACATTATGCTTCATATACAGGAAAACATAATTCACTTGTTACATACATATTTAATCACTCTAACATTCTCCTTTGTAATACACCTTACCTTCCTTCTTACATAAATGAACATATTAAGCTCAAGTATCTCACTCTATGCAATGTTTGCCTAAGGTAATTAACACATTCACAAAATAAACTGGTTATTCATCAGGTACTACTACTTCCTGGGGTTTTTTAATTTATTTATACTTGCACTATTAGGTATATGGGCTCATTACATTGACATATGTGTCTTGATTGGCAAAGGCTTCCAAACAGCTAGTATGATGTTAGTAAATCAGACTGATTCCTCTTTTCATCAAAGTGTCTCTCTCAACTGGCATGAGGACACAAGGATTCCTTGGATCATTCATGTTCCCAACTCGTTTGTCCAATCCTCTCTCTCTCTCCCCCCAGCAGATCACACAGCCTACACTGTCAGGGACCCCAGGTACTCCAGAGAGCAAAGAAAAGCAGTAGCCAAACAATTCTTGTTTGTTTTTCAAGGCTGCTCAGGAGTCTATTACCTTTACTTCATGCTATTAGTGAATACTTCTGTAAATATTTTGTAGCCATTACAAAACAGTTGGCTATAGTCATACACACAGTATTACTGTGTACCGTATCTAAAATGATCGCAAGAAGGAGCAAAGTACACTGGATGCAGTATCACCTTACCCATGGCTTTCTAAACACACAACACTACTGCAAAATCCTTAACATTGTTATGTGCATCTGTGCTTGCTGGGCCTGATTTTATGAATGATGGCAAAAGACAATAGAAACAGTAACCAAGAATAAAAGCATTAAATGTACTGTGGTAACAGTCAGATCAAATTAACAGAATAGGGACATCAAAACCAAATTATTTCAGGCCTCAAATACATTGTCCCTCACCAACATCTCCCATTAATCTAGTGGTATGAAATCACATATACAGTCCAGTCAACTCCTAAATACCACAGAATGGTTCTTTAGTGGTTATGGCATTTTCTTGTTCCTCCAAGTGGGTAAAGTTCATGGAAGAATGATCCCAAGATATTCTCAGAAAGCAAACTATGGTTTTACATACATCCCCAGTGTCCATCCAACCTGCAGCTAGGAGTTATCACTGCTGTGTAACTTAACACCATCACCTATTTGGCAGCCTAACAAAATGGTTCCTTAGTGTCCCTTCGCAGCTTGTCATTTCCCTGCTTATACCTCAGAAATAAATATTTATGCTATATTGAGCATAGATATGCTCTTATGTACATATATATAAAACCATGCGTAAGTATGACTTTAATGCTCCATATACAGAAGTTAAATTGTCCTGCAGAGTATCACAGGCCAGCTCCCAAATGGATTCTTCTGTTAAATACCATGTTCCAAAATGTCTTGTGCCCAGAGCACTGCACATGACTTAGAGGAAGCACAGCACCAACACCAGCAAGTAGGTATCGGCACTTACGAACAACATGAACATAAGAACATTGTGTGACCTCACCATGCAAGCAAAAATAGGCAGACGGTTTCTTTTTGAGAAGTAGAATGTATCTTAAAGTTGCTTTCTGTGTCATAAAGATACTCGTGTTTCAATAAACAACTATATACCTTTTAATTTCTAAATCCTATTCCCATTTTACAGAAATAATCATAGACTAAGTATGCTATATTTAAGACACTTTGAATTACAATCTTGATGCTTTTAAGTATTTAATCTTTCTGGAAAAGAAACTAATAAAAGTTGTTTTCAGATAGGCAAGCAGGTCTCCAAATTATATAAAAAACCCCACCAAAAACCAACACAAATCCACAAATAATTAAACTTTAATACTTGTTCTTTGGAGAACAAGGGCTGGAATACTTAACCATTTGCAAGAAATAAAACCTTCGCTTACTTTAGAAAAAGCTATTTAACCCAGTAAGATAAGAATGAAATCACAGGATAGTTGGACACATGCAAGGAAATACAGTACCAACCCTTCATTGATAAGTTTCTGGAGTGAGTACCTAATTTAGAGATGCAAAATCATCACATCAAGCAGAATTAACTAGCAATTGCTCTGTCCTACATAACTTGTTAGTATGACCAGTTAGGCCATATCTGTTACCTCATGGAAGAATCAGAAGTGATTGCCATCTGCAACTTATAAACTGAATTACAGGATTCTGGTCAGTTATTACAGAAGTGCAATCCTTCACAAAAGAGAAGGGAAGTCCCAAGTTACAGCCTGTGTAAGACTGAATACACTGCATGCCACAAATCTACTTCCATCTGCTGTGACACAAAAAAGGTGTTTTTTTGTTTGTTTTTCAGTAGGTTAAATAGTTTTACTAAAACACAATTTAGCTAGTTTCAAGAAAGAAAAAAAAAAAAGGAAAAAAGTTGTCGAACTACATATTCTTTCTCTTCCTCCCCTTTTCAGACAGGATCCTTTTGATCCCATCTACTCCTATATATAGCAGTCAGGAAACCAAGATCATCACCAGAGGGAACCCACTCGGCAGACTCAGGCAGTCCTGGCAGGGCTCACAGCCTCACTCTTGCTGACAGCCATCCCTAGCCGTGCTAGGGAGAGAGTGCTGATAGACTGAAAACGAGCCTTTATTGGTCAAAAAATTTACGGTGGATCTTGCAATAATTTTTCCATCTAAATGAGCATTACAAGAAGACAGCAGTTGATTTTATGGTCAGTCTAATGTACTGAAAAGCAAAGTCTGACAACACAAGGCTCCAAAGTTTATTTCATTAAACATTATACAGTGTTATGTACAGGGGGAAGAAAAAAGTAGCTATACTATGTTCTAGAAAGTCTATTTAAAGTTATAACCCAAAGATCTGCACTACAGTTAAATGACATTAGGCTGTTTGTTTCTCTTATCAACTACTACAGTTATACCCACCTGTTACATTCACTGCTGGCCCAGTCTGGTACTGTGGAACTCCCGAGTTCTGTCTCACACCAAACAGTATACCAGATGTATTATCTGGTGCAGCTGGTGGAGAATCCATAATATAATCCTAGTAAGATATTTTCAAGAGGGAAAAGAAATTTGAGGTTTAACATTTTTCTTTTTTTTTTACTTACAGGCTTCAAAGGGTTTATTTCAAAAACAAATGATTGCTTAAAAGTAGTCCTGAGTACTCAGCTGTAACTCAAGTTCATTACAATCTCCCCAAAATACTTTTGACATTTTGATAAGTTTTCAACTCTTATCAGTGGTTGTTAATTTATCCATAGCTGTGTGTCAGAGTAAGTTCATTTTATGAAGTATTACTAAACCTGTTTGAATAGCTAATCATAAGTGCTTTTGTTCAAAAGTCTGATGATGTTTCAAATTATACTTTACTTGTTTTTAAAAAATTAATAATTTCTTCAACCTAAACTCAGGCATTTGTCTGTTACTCTTGCATAACAGGTAGCTACATTTTAAAAGATCAGAAAACAGAACTCAAAAGTAGCACAAACCTCCAGCAAGGAGAAGCTTCTCAAAGCAAGATGATAATACATAAATCAAATTCTACTATGTGGTCAAGCTTTAATGAAAAGAAAAGTGTATCTATAGCATGTTGACTGGGAATGACACTGAAATTGATGATATCACTAAGGGTTTTTTTTTTCTTTTATGTAATTTAATAAGGACCTCTAGAAATAATATAATCAAACTCTCTTTACAAAGCAGAGCTAACCTAAAAGTTGGTTCATGTTTCTTAGCACCGTGTTACATTAGATATCTTCTTAACCTTCAGTTTAAAAGGTTACTACACATAACCTAACACATTAAATAGTCCATAGCCAAATTTCTTGGCTCCAACACTGAAAACTGTTAAAACTAAACAACTTCACTGATCCCTCAACAGGTAAAATTCAGAAGGAAAAGGAATGGGAAATTTAATTCTCTTCACAAATATTCAAGGTTTAGGGGGTAAGGTAGGAGAAACACTTTCCAAGACTCATCAACACTGCTCACATCTTATTAGGCCATTCATCCTAACACAAAAAATCAGGAACATGAAATATTTTCAAATATAGCAATAAGGATTTAAGAAAAACCTTATAATAGCGTTAGCTTTAATTTCAAAATTAAGGTATGAACATCAAAACATGGGCACTTGATCTTTCTACCCTGAAATAATTCAATTGTTACACTTCATCAACCTGTACTGTGAAACAAAAAGCCTGACAAGAGGAGCTCCATTTCCCTAAAAATAAAAATTCTTTACTGTGAGGGTGGTGAGACATTGGTTGCCCAGAGAAATAGTGGATTCCCCATCCCTGGAAGTGTTCGAGGCCAGGCTGGATGGGGCTTTCAGCAACCTGGTGTAGTGGGAGGTGTCTGGGCCCATGGCAGGGGGGTTGGAACTCAATGGTCTTTAAGGTCCCTTCCAACCCAAACCATTCTATGATAATGAAGAGCCACAATGGTTTCAGACTAGCCATAGGCAAAGCAACTTAGCCTGCAAACCCCACATTAAGCACAACTGATGCTCAGGTGGTAAGCCTCTGGAAGGCTCTTAGTATGAAGGGCTATGCACACGACCTACACATAAAATATGACCCATACAATCGCTGCACACAAAAACTGCTTGTCTTAACTGCTCTGTGGTTTGTTTGGTTTTAAGTGCTGCTAACATGTTTACTTTTTTCAAAATAATTGCCTGGGTATTTCAATGGCATATGTGCATCTCTCTAGTATATACTAAACACATCTGGTGAGTAAGAAAGTAAAAAGCATGAAAATTCAAAGTCTCATAATTTTCAAAATGTCCTTTTCTGTTTACAGCTATTTCTTTCATGCAATTTGGCTCTGCCTTTTTCCATACAGAAAAAAAAAAACCAACTAGAGTCTTCCCATGCTTTAGAAAGCAAAACATTTTTAAGAAAAAAAAAAAAAGCCAAACAATCCCAGCTTTACCACATCAATGAAAAAACCCCATCAAATTAACATGAACAGGTGCTTTCACATGCAGAAATGCAAAACCCAACACCTTTATAAATTAAATTCCTAAGGCTCAAATGAAAGAAAAGAAAATAAAATCCACCACCATTTTAGTTTTCCAAGAGACTAGCAAAAATATCAGTTTCATAGGATACTATGCATCCTAGGTTTCCTAACTATGGAAACCAACATAATTGGTAACCAAATTCACACAGAGGAATTGCAAGGCATAACTGGACCTTTGCTATCCCAAAATTAACCAGGAACAACGGGAACCTAAATTACACTCAGACGAAGGGAAGTGCTTATTAAGCAGGGGACAGACATGGACAGAATTGTCTGGGGCTTACTGGAGAGCATTCCGAGTGCTGAATTACAGAACACCTTCACCACTAAGAAATTTTTCATAAAGAGGAGGATAGCCCCATGCTATCGTATACAACAGCAGTAGCTGTGACTGAATTAGAATTGCTGTAAACAGTACAACTGAAGCCAAATTCAACTCAAGTTTTGGAACTGCATTAACATAGTGCAGTAACAAGAACACAAAAACTTTTAAAGGAAGTCAGTGAATAGAGCCTGTGACTGGAAAAGGGTATTTCAGTGATAAAACTGGTATACCAAACATTGACAAAAGGTAAGTTACAGACCTACATGTTACAAAATTGAGGAAATGTGTGTTTCAACACAGTTGATGATCAAAAGCCATCAGTTCCCACAGAAAATACTTTGACATCCTGAGATTAAAAAATATTGGACCATATTAAGAATGCAAAGGCACTCTGAAGGATGTTCAGATAAAGAAGGGTCCTGCCACAGCGTCTAGCACCTCACAGTCACCTTCACATTACAATATTTTAATTTCAAATGTAAGTTTCAACATCTGGAAGCTGAAGATCCAAATGTCAAACACTTCCCAAAAAAATTATTTGAAGCCCTTGCCACTTAGGAATAATTAAGTTAGGAAGAAACAGAAAATGTGTGAACAAAAATGTCACAGAAAGCCCAAGGCAGAAAATCATCAATATAAAACAGTGGCCTCAAGTGGAATAAAGGCTAGATAAGGGGAGGGGGGAAAATTCCATAAACCCTAAGGAGCTCTTGAATGAAGACAACTCAAACCAAGGACGTGAACCAAAATACAGGCAGGATACATATGACACCAAGAACAGCAGAACTTTGCCCAAGAAGCTGAACTATAGTACCTCAGCAAAAGAAAGCACACCAAACAAGCCTCTTTCCCCATAAAAAGTGTAACAGAATCAAGTGGCAGGTGCAATACAAAAATCAAGAAAACAAATTATTCTAGATAAGGCTAAAATTTGAAATGCAATTCTGAACTTTAAAGAGTTAAGTTGAAGAGATGGAAGATTCACTTCCAGCATGTCTTAAAGCAAGGAAAAAAACCCAGAAAAAACTTTCTAAAGGTACTCAAGAATTTCTTAACATCCAAACGATAGGATGTTACCTTTTTTTAGATTATCCTAAATGTAAGAGCCACCAAAAGCTGTGATCAAAATGTCAATGCTGTAAAAAAAAAAACATATAATATAAGATGATTTCAACAGTGGAATATCTATGCATTGGATATCCCAGAAAAGGATGCATTACTTTCTAAAGCACATCAGTCTAACTTGGAATAGAGATAGTTGACTTTATACATGGTTAGAGATCCTTTTCCATGCTGTGTATCTTTAAAGTCATGTTTCAGGCTGCAACTTCTTCAAATAGGTGTTTCTCTACGCTGCCAGGGAAGAATAACAAACTGCAGATTTTGGCAAAATAAGACTATAGAACTTAACTAAAGTCTCACCTGTGACACCCCTGTTGAAAGTAAACTTGATGAACAAACTGTCACAAAAAGAAGTGCTGTGTGCATAGTGTCTTTAAAGGAAATCACTGTCTTGAGGAATTATGTCTGGCTTACATACACCTTTTGGAGAAGTTCAGCTTTCCTAGGTCTGTTTACTCTAAGGCTTTCTAAAAAAAACAAGGTAGAGGCAGCTTTGCCTCTACATTAGATAGAGCCTCTAATAGAACAAAATCACAAGCTTATACAGGTGAGGGAAGTAAAGGAGGGGGCTTCCTTTTGCAGCTAAGATTCTGCAAGTACTCCTTTGAAGGATTTAGTAAAGCATACTATGTCATAAGTAAACATTTATTGGTTTGTGGGTGGGTGTGATGTGGTGGGGTGTTGTGTTTTTTGTTTTGTTGTTGGTGTGTTTGGGGTTGGTTTTTGTTTTGTTTGTTTTTAAGGTTGGACTCAATGATCTCAGGTCTCTTCCAACCGTGGTGATTCTGTTATTTATAAAAATAAAATTCACAGATTTGAAATATGTGTACGCATTATGTGAAGTAGCAGACATTTCTGTATTAAACTGTCCTGCTTGATAAAGATAGATTTAAGAGGACTCCAGAGGCAATACAGATATTATACCAATATCTAGACTTTTGATTATATAATTTTTTAGGCCTTTTAGATACAGCGACTCATTTAGCTAACCTGCTTCACCAGGCATGCCTACAATTTCTCTCTGCAAACTATCGCTCAACTGCTGAAGACTCAAAATTGGAAAGTATGCATTCCTTCCTAATGAATCTGCCAGGGATTCAGCTACCCACTGGATATGCAATGATTCCATTGCATTGTTTTTCTTAGGATATAATCAATCATTGGCCATGATTTAGCCACAAGTCTTGAGAAGAACATCTAATTATCACACTAACTACATTCATTCAGACTGACACCCCTGCTTAGCAAATGCAGAATACATTAAGTTGCATGATTTTTATTTACACAAAAAAACTGACAGCTGGGACAACTGCAGGTGTGTATATTTGCACGGATGATGGAGATGGTGCCTACTGTCAGACTTCATTTTACCTTACAGTAGTAGCTAATATTATAGGCAGAACACATTGTCTAAACAGTTCCAGCTAAAATTATTTTCAATAAAGGTATCACATCATAGTTTATCTCATACAACAATGAAATTTTAATCTTCATTCTTTCTATCTCACAAACGTCCAACAGCTAAGGCAATAAAAACAGCATCTAACTTGACTCCCTAAAGTTATCATTCTGAGGTTCTGTGGCAATCCAGGAAGATCTATAACATGTGATCTCTGTGCATAATTCCCTTGTGCTTTTCAAACAAAACAAGTATGCTGCTGAATTGTTTCATCTACTAACCCTGCAACTTTTGGTTCCTTAAGTCCTCCTTATGATACTACTGTTTCACTACAACTGACACGTGAACCAAAAAGCAAAGACACCTAGGGAGCTACACCTACAGCATTCTCTAAAGAAGCAAAAATCTCAAGAGGCACTGTAAAAATCAGGTGGGAAAACCACAAAGTTACTTTAAACACCAAATGCAAGCTATTTAAAACTAAAATTAATTTAACTATACAGAGGATCCATCTCTGAGCACAGAAATCTGCAATATTTAGAGAATGAGAAATTTCCATCATTTCTCCACACAACCTAAACAAAATAATCTAAGCAGTACTAATTTTTTTTATGCCTAAAATTTTCATAATTCCACTGTTACTAAAGCTATCACCTTTGAAGTCTTGCAAATCAATATTTTCAAATATATATTTTAATTCAGCAGTGCAAGGTTATAGTCCTAGAATCTCCAGTTTACATAATGCCTATAATGAATGTCTATAATCTAGTCCAGGTCTTCAAATTACTAGATTGAGTCAGTATGCTCCTCATTAATTTATTCAAAAGCAATTCCACCTGAATATTTTACAGTTTAAGGGAATAAAAATTTACCTGATTGAGTATTACCGGCTGTGCTGTTACAGTAGTCATTGGCCTGGATACAGGTTGAGCCACTACAGGAACTGTGATACTTCTTGATACTGGCTGTGTCGTCACTGGAATGCTAACAGGCTGTGATATTCCAGAACCTGATCCGGACATCTGCTGTGTTGATAAACATCCAGAAACTGGTCTCTGCAGCGTTTGTGAAGTTCCTGAAACATTCACTGGTACAGACAATGGCTGAGCACTAGTTGTAGGTCTGGATACAGACTGAAAGACTGACGAAACAGGCATGGCACTGGGGCTGGAGGCAGGTGTCGCATAATGGTGACTGTCAGGCTTGAATGTAGCAACTGTACCTGTTACAAAGGATTCCAAAGTTATCTTTATATAATATTGCAGTCAGATGTTTCATAAGTGTTGTGGATTTTTTGATTTTAATTACCATATTAGGACAATAAAGTACCTCTACTGGGTGCACCATTCTGTATCGCCCTTCGTGATGAGCTGAGGTTGACTCTGTTCAATATATCTGTCAAAAGTTACATTTATCTTAATTGAAGTTAAATTAGTAGCTTAATTGCTTTTCAAATCAAAAGTAGCATTCATATCCACTAATTAAGCCAATTAGGATTTGACTTATAGATTAGAATATTATGTCTAAAATAAATGTGTGGCAAAACAAAGCATCATTTGTACAAATATAAGATATGCTCTTCTACTTCTCTTAGGTTAAGCTAGTTACCTCAGAATCTCAGTTTTTATTTTCTTGGAGATAAATTAACATACAAATAACAGTGCAAACAAACAAAAAGAACATTTCATAAATATTTAGCTTTGCTGATTATAATGCATTTATTCACTTCTGTTTCTCATATACATAGTATATTCCCCAAATGCTAGAACCGCTCTACACTAGGGGAAGCTTTTTCTCTAAACGAGTAACTACACAATTTGTTTCTGTATCACAGGAAGATACAGCACTTACAAACTTGTTTTCAGACTTCATGATTTCCATTTTCCAATGTGAAAGAAAAATCAACAGACCAGCAATCAACAGGGTTGTCTTGGAAATGCATTACAAGAGAACTGATTTTCTTACATATTCTTTGTGGTAGCCTATGACCAGTGTTCCAGCTCATTAGAAACACATGGAATTTCTTAGATTAGATGTTTACTCCCTAACTAATGCCACCAATATTCCCCAACGTTTTATGTCTTGATCTGGAGTTTCTGATCATTCCAGAATGTTACAAATACATTCATCAAGTGAAAATATTTTTCTACTGCCAGATTCTCAATTCCATTAGTGTTGCTGTGAAGTTTCTTGCTCTGACATGTGAAAATATGCATATGAAATTAGATAGATCCTTCAATATCTAACCAACAACATTTAATGTACCTTCTCAAACCAGGCTCAAATTACATCAGGATCTCAAACAACAGATCTCAGAGTATCTAACACATTGTGTTTAACAACCTTAAGGCTGTTTGCACCAGCAATGGCTCATTAGTATACACTACTCAGGTTGACAAATAAATCTAAAAGCAGTAGAGCTCAGAAGATCACAGCTTTCAACCTGTCACCTGCATTTAGATCATACTAATAAAAAAGCAGCTGCAACCAACAGATCCAAACAGGTTTGCATTTTTTAACATATGATGAAATTTCATTCTGTAATAGTAATACTATTTTTACTTCAACACAAAACTAACTATGAGCAAGGATTTCGCTGAACACATACTTTGTGTCTGTTAATAAATCTATACCTTACATTTGAATTCCAGAGTGAAATGAAACTAAAGCCCTCATCTACCTACAAGAAAAAAAGCTATTCTAAAGTTATGCCTCAGAAAGCATATTAAGCTTCAGACAGTCTGATGTGCACACAATTCACATCCTAAAATACAAAGGTAGATTTTACCATTTTTAAAAAGAATATTTCAGGAAGCCAATGATTTGAAATTATAAACTAAATTTACATGACTCAACTGATGCTTCATTGACCTGATGTGCCCTTTCCCCACTCCTATCAAAGCATTATTTATCCTGTTTAGGTAAAACAGCACTGAAGTATAAGAAAGCTAACATGCAGCACAATATTTTAAAGTAACAACAAATTACAGGCTTGTATCATTATTAAAAAGGAAGCAAGAAAAATGAATAGTAACTGTAGGAAAAATGAGCAGTTGCGGGAAATGGTAAAGGCTACAAAGTGTGAATTACTTTTCATCTCAATCAAAGTGATCCTCCAGTACCTCAGAAGAGACACTTTGTTATACATGACACTCGTCCAGCAAGTCAAAGTTGGGTTTTTAACTATTTCTTTCAAGCTTTCTACACCAGTCTGTATAAAAACTAATTGATGCATTGTCATGAAAAGGTTAAAAAAAATTGCTATGTATTGTAGAAAATATACCTTCCAGAAAAATTAATAACTACACGTGAGTCTCCATTTGTCATCTAATTTTTCACCTGATCAGACAGCAATTTTCTCAGGTAAAAACCAAGCAGCAGTGATAAGCAAAGTTGAGTCCACTGTGTCTTACCTATCACCAATAACAAACTGAAGCCTGACTACTGCCAGGCAGTGCTACTTACAAACCAGAGAACAACTGAGGTCATTCTTCCATAGCTGTTTTTGATAGCGAAGTAGAAGATTACAAAGAGAAAAGTAGAGGAAAGGGAAGGAAAAGAGATAAAGTAAAAAGTTATACCATAAGTGATTTTACTGGTGTCAGGACTGAGTAAGGACATTGCTAGAGTAAGATACATACATTGTAAGTCTCTGTCTCTTACCGAAGTTCTTGAAGTTGCAGAATCATATCAAAGTTAGAGGTTTTACCTGAAATATTTCCATCCTTTATGACTACAAAAAAAATCTTGAGCCTAGAACAACTGCAAAAAAACTTGGCTTATTTTTTGTTCCAACATATGCCTGTGGTGCCTTAATAGTTGTTCTATCCCATGACCTACTGCAAATGACCAGCAGCAATCCAGAGATCTCTTGACTTTCCAGAAAACAACAAGGCTATTTTTCAGTCCTTCTGGAAGTTTGTAACTGCACAAAAATTTTAGAGCAATTTTAAGATATTCTTCAAATTTTCAAGAGAACCTTAAATATTTTTAAATATTCCAAAAAATTAACCCTAAAGAGTATTTCTTTACTATCTAAAACATAATTTTCCACTTTTTAAAGCTAGTGTAAGGAACATTAGACTTACTACCCCAGCGAGTAACTCAGTAAAATGGAATTCAGATAGAAGATGAAACTATTGTGAACTAAAGTGACTGAACAGCTAATAATAGCTCCAAAGTCCATGCACCAAAGTGTGACAGCCTTATTTCACATTTTGTATTGAGATTCTTCACTACAAACTATAAGTCTTCAGAAAATGATCATGGAAATCTTGGGTACAAGCACAGCAGAGATGAGAAAGAAACTGAAAGCAGTAAACCTCACCAGACAGTCTCATGTATTCAACAGCTAGAGGAATCTTAGGTCAAACCTCTTAACAATTGATTACAAAATGCCTGCATACAGAAATCAAGAAGTTTCATTACTAAAATCAATTTAAGTAACAAAAATATTCTCCTTTACTTACCTGCCACAGCCCAAGCACAGGACAAACATGGAATCCTGACAGCTGCTGTCATCACAACCACCTAACCTCACTCCCTGCACTACCTGCATTAGGAGAAAACTACAGAACTTGATGAAAAAACTCTATATTTTACAGGGGATTAATGAGTATATTAATAAAAATCTCTTACTTAACAAAGAGGCTTCTACTATTTTCACATTAACCACTTTTCCTGATTGTGCTTAAGACAGTTACCTTAGTTTTGTCAGAATGATGTCCACCAACACATGCAATGTGGGGTGGAGAAAAAAGAGGGACTGTAACATGAAAACTTAAATTCATGCACATTACTTTAGTAGGGAAACACTTCAAGTATCTAACTAAATATCAACTACATTAAGAGCAATTGCATGCACAGTTTCAGCGTATTTGATTTTTAACCATATTGTAAATGCTAAAACCTTCAAACATCCTTGTTTTGACTTGAGACTTAAGGTCAGAGCTATGCATAACCTTGGTTTTAGGACAGAATTTAAGAATTCCCATTTTCAGTGTGACAGCAAACTACAGAACAGCTTTAAGATGTAGAATTTCTTAGGCCTTACTGTGAAAAATTCTATATTTTCAAAGTAAGTTTAAAATATTACTCCTTGAAATACCTGTTTTAAATTATGGAAAAGATTATCTTACATGTACTAGCTGGCTTCGAGCTTGAGATTTCCCCAACAAAGATGGGCTCATCATCATCATCATCTTCCTCCACTTCTTTCACTCTCTTTTGCCACGGTTCTAACTCTTCTTCTTCACATTCCATAAATAATTCTGCCATCTTGAGACTAGACAGTAAAAAACAAAACACACATGCCAAAACATTCAGTACTTTCACGAAACAAATATTTCACTGGTCAGTAAAGATTACTGCACTTCATGATAATTCCCATAGAACAGTCTTCCCACCCCATTCTCCCACCAGGTTGAACCTGATCTGATATAGAAGATCTTCAAAGATTGACACCACATCACCTTTCTGATAATTATTTGAATTTTCATCTTTGCTATCAAACATGAGAAAAAACTGAAGATATCCTCCACATAATTTAAAGTATTTTTGTATAATCCACTAGTAACTACCAGAGGAATCCTCTGACACCACAGTGAAAGGTATCTAAAAAAACCACTCCTCTTCCAGGTAAGTTATTCAAAAGAAATGCGAAGACTCTACTATGAAGCGTGTAATATACCTGGCACAACTGAGTTACAGCAACACTAATTACAGCTTTACTTTCTACACTTCTAAAAAACTCAAACCAAACCAAACAAAACCGCACCCAAACCCACAACCCCACAAATTTTGTAAGATTTTTCCAGGCCTTCCCATATAGCCATGTTTTCTTTAAAACCCAACAAAACCAAAACCAGAATTCCCCAAAACCTCCTCAACAAGAAACAATCCACCCACAAAACCCCCTCAAACAAAAAACCCACAACAACAAAACCCCCAAACTAACCCACACAACATTGCATAGTGTTTTCATAATCAATTAAGACTTGATAAAAATTTTGCATAGGCCTCATTAGACTGAGTCCCTTGCACTTGGAAACTTGCTCTTGCAGTAAGGAAAAAACATAATGTATGAAAAGAGTAATGAAAATATGTAGCTTTTGGAATTAACCAAATTATGATCAGCATTTCTAATCACAACTAGTGTTATTCATTTTTTTAAAAAATGAAGATGGCTAATGAAGTTTTCCTCTTTCTTTTCATATCTTCTAACATAATCTTGAAAGTATTTCCAAACAATACAGGAAATAAGAAACTTTTCTATTCCTTTACCCATGCTACCAATAATCTAATTTGTAGTAAGACCAGTAATTTCATAAAAACCACAGGGCTGCCTCAGCAATAACCAGTGTTTTCTTTGCCTAAGACACAGAGCTTCATAAAATTCAATGACTTTTTTTTCAGTAAAACAGAGGGGAAGCAATATAGTTTTGCATGAGGAACCAAGTAGTGACTCCAGCCAATACAGGAATTCCTTGAAATAAATGAGCAGTTAAGTATATGAAATTCAATTAATCATTGGACTGCTTGGACAAAAAAGCAAAGAATATCCAAGCAACAGTTGCTTTCATGAAGGCCGCAATCAATATAAGAAAATTTAATGTCTTATTAACCAGGCCACTGCCAACAAAAAAACATTACCAATGCTTCTCTCATTCTTGTGCTGACGCAACACTTACCTGACAAAGCAAACTTGTTAAGGAAGTTTGGTTTCCCACTATTATACAGAGATAGTTCTCTGACAGTTTAATCCCTAGATTTAATATCCAGAGCATCAGACCAGCACCACTGTATAGGATTATGTTATTAAGCCTATCAAACCTTATCTACAAGGCGACAAAATCAAGATTTCATTCATAGTCATAAACTGCTATTTCCTAAACTAAATGATTTATCTTGTAAGATGAAGAGGGTGTTTATTCAACGCATTTTTCTGTACAATTTATCATTATTTTCTCCATTCCAAAAATATTTCAAAAGCAATATATATATTAAACATTGAGCCACATTTCTTTATTGAAAGTATAGTTACACAAAACTAAGAATACTCATTATCTATCAGCAGTGTTTGAAATGGAAGCCTTCAGCACAGGCATGGTGACAAACTGCCTAATATTTAACAGAATCATAGAATCATATAGGGTTGGAAGGGACCTCTAGAGATCATCTAGTCCAACCCCCCCGCCAGAGCGGGTCTACCTAGAGCAGGTTGCACAGGAACTTGTCCAGGCGGGTTTTGAATGTTTCCAAAGAAGGAGACTGCACCACCTCTCTGGGCAGCTTGTTCCAGTGCTCTACCACTCTCACAGTAAAGAAGTTCCTTTTCACGTTTAGGTGGAACTTCTTATACTCAAGTTTGTGTCCATTTCCTCTTGTCCTGTCACTGGGCACCACTAAGAAAAGACCAGCCCCGTCCTCCTGGTACCCTCCCTTTAAGTATTTGTAAGCATCGATTAGATTCCCCCCTAGGTCTTCCCTTCTCAAGACTAAAAAGACCCAAGTCCCTCAGCCTCTCCTCGTAGGAGAGATGCTCCAGGCCCTTAATCACCTTTGTGGCCCTTTGCTGTACCCTCTCCAGCAGTTCCCTGTCCTTCTTGAACTGTGGGGCCCAGAGCTGGACACAGTGCTCCAGATGGGGTCTCACCAGGGCAGAGTAGAGGGGCAGGATAACCTCCCTTGACCTGCTGGTTACACTCTTCTTGATGCACCCGAGGATGCCATTTGCCTTCTCCATCAGCCATGGCATCAGCCACCCCTCCTAGTTTTGTGTCATCAGCAAATTTGCTGAGTGTACATCCCTTTGTCCAGGTCATTGATGAATGTATTGAATAATAAGACAAGACAATTTCAGAATAGGAGTAATGAGCTGCTAGATTTGGTGATGGACTGTGGAAATAATTAGTCGGTAATAGCTTATCACAGGGGAGCAGACAGAATTGTGTCCCTGCTTTCATTTAAAGTGCCTAAGAATGGGGCTGCTGCTGTTACATTCAAAGTCTTGGCGATACAGTAGCAAAGCTTTACTCCTTCCTTCCTCCCTCTATCAGCTTAGGGTGCTGAAGTTAAACATGATGCTAGGAAAGAAGAGAATATGACATGAAATGAAAGAGAATGGATCCTGACTCTCCTCTGTGGAAGGCTGTTCTTTAGAATGCCTTTTCTTTACTAACGCATAAGCAAAGTTTATTAGACTCCAAGGCAAAGTGGAAGACTATTTTCAGAGACTTTTTACATGGAACTGACAACATAAACACGAGGGTTTGGTTTTTTTTAATTAAAAAAAAGGGTTTATTTGACCTCAGGGAAAGAAGTTATCAATGCCAATGAGAGCACATGTAATTTATATTGAAACCACAAAATAGACACAAGCAATCTATATGTTAGCAGAATTCTCACAAGATACATGCAAAAATCTCAGCTACACTATAATACAGCTGGTTTTGTGTTTGGGTTTTTTTTATATAGTTTAAAGTAATTTGATAACATAGGCATGGACTTTTAGAAAGTTACACCAACTGGTGGCATCTCTTATGGATGTTTCATTTTATGAATCAGGATGTAAATATTAAGGTATTCTCAAAAGGTGACTCCAAATGTGTAACAGCTTTTAAAAGACAAGTATCAAGATTATTTCAGATCTTTTAATCTATTTTTATTTCAATGCTATGATTTGAAGTCAAGCTTTCACTGACTTTCTTCCTAGAAACAAAGTCAGTCTAATGAGTTCCCACCCTGCTTTTGCACTGTTCCCTCAGTTGTGCTAGTACAACTTTTCATGGGACTACAACACGAACCAGTGCAGGTTAAAAATAGCCTGGCCCACTAACAGTTTTACCCCTACAACAGAGAGGTAAAAAAATTGGTTGCCTGAGCAATCAAAGTTGCAGTATGGGGGAAAGGATTTGATTATAGGTGGTGTGCAGGACCTGCTCAAGTGGTCTTCATTGCCAAGGGAAACATCTAGATCCATTTTTAGAGTACAACTAGCTTCCAAGTCTTCAGCTTCTTTAACTACATTAACGCAGAAAATGCATTCCAGGAATCCTGCTAGTGCTTGCTCTCAAAGCCAAAAGCAACAGTGAGCCCTTCCCCAACTCTCCCAAAATATTTCCCTGTGGAGATGCAGATGCCAGTAAAAGAAAGGTAAACTTATTTACAAAAGACCTTGTTGTCCTCATTTTAAAATATGTATCAACATATATACACATTCATATACACATCTCTTTAAAGGTAGTCCATACATTTGAAAGGTCCAAAACTCCAATGAAATGCTCTATGTACATAAAGAAAACGTTTAAATCATTGCTCTAGGATAAAAAGTGCCAGAATTCTGAACAAGTTATTTAAAACATTTAAAAAATATCATTAGACTATATCAAGATATCGCTTTAAAAGGCAACTGCTCCACAAAAGCTAAGGCTAGTCATGAAAGTTCATTAGGCAGGCACTGATAATCAACAATCTGCAAAGACAGAAGTCCATGAAACACTGTAATAGTTACTAGACAAGCAATGAACTAAAAACCTGATACAAGACAGAAAAAAATAGTCCAACTGAAGAGCAACGAGCTTCTGATGAAACAAGCGTTTTAAAAGCACTAGATTGGACATGGCAATTACATTTAAAGATACCTAACTTTATTAAAGGCCAGTTGTATTTATAATCTGCTTTTTTTTACTGTTAGGATATAAAGGCACTCATAAACAGAAGTGATACAAACATTAGTAAATGTAACAAGAATGTAACAGTGAAAACAGCAGAAAGCGATCTGCAGAGGCACCTTAAAGATACATGGAAATCAATACTATAGAAAATCATGGCAAATGCAGCCGCAATAAGATTTAGAGTTACTGAAAACCCATTTACTACTTTAGATGCAATTCACCTGTTCCACTCTTAAGGTAAAGTGAGTTTTCCAAAACTCATTACTTCTTTGGATTGGCTTAAAAAACGGAACCAAATCACCAATATGAAATCACTTACAGAGTGAGGACATCTACATTAACCAGAAAGTTTGTCATCTTACCATAATGGTATTATCAGTGAACTATTCAAATTTTTCCCCTCCAGTTTAACAGCTGCACTTCAAGTGAACAGGAAAGTTCTATTATTTACAACACAGACCATAGGGAAAGCACCCATGTTATATTTTTCAGACAACTTCCCATACAGGCACATAACTAGTTGTAGAAGAGTGTGCAAACCACAGCTTTTTCAGGACTGTGCGCAACTGTGCTGCGTTTGTTTCAGCAGCGAAGAACGGATGACCGCGCTGAAACTGAACCTCAAAGTTTTAAAAAGGCCGAAGTAGACACCAGCTTCCCTCAAAACCAAGCTGCACCAGCCAACGCTGCCCTCTCCGCCGTGAGACGGTACAAGCTCCGCCTCGGGCGGGCCGACGCTGCCTTCGCGGGCCGCTGAGGAGCTCACACCCCCGGGCAGCCCCACCGCCCCGCCTCCCCAGCGCCGGGTGACCGCAAGGACTCGGCTCCGGCTGCAGGTTCGCCTTTGGACGAGGCCCACATACCACAGCCGCGCCGGGAGGGGAGGAGGCCCGGCAGCATCCGCTGCCAATGGCCGGAGGGCCCTGGCCACGACCGGCCCACGGACGGCAGAGGAAGGGCGGAGCGAGCCCTGTCCGGGACGCCCCTATGGGCAGAACGCCCCGGTTCCCAGCGGGGCCCCGCGGGCGGCCCGAGGGAGCCCTCACGGCGCGGGGTCCCCGCTCCACAGACGCGGCGGGGGGAGGAGAGGGGGCAAGGCCGCGCTCCGACCTAAGATGGCGTCGGTCTCACAGGCGACAATCCCCCCGCGGCCCACCCGCCGCTGAGCGGCGGCTCCCTCCTCCCAGGGAGGCGGCAGGGAGGGCCGAGGGGAAGAAGCGGGCTGCCTTACCGTGCTGCGCGTCCGGTGAGGCGGCGGTAGCGGGCAGGCCGCCCCGCTCCCTTCCTCCTGGGCTGGCGCGGGGTGGGGGGGGATGGGAGGCAGCCGCGCTGGCGGAGGCGCCTCACATCGCCGGACCGCGGCGCCCCACCTCAG